CAGAGACACCAATTCAGTTAATGGTCGGCTTGAAACGGTGCTTGGGACCCCTCGTTTGGCGCTGGGGCCTCTGACTGACACAGGGCCTTTCCACTGCTTTACTGTAAATGTGAGCCCTTGCGTCGCCACTCCTCTTATTTCCTCTTATTGCCAGGAAGGCCCAAACAACGCAAGAGGCCGTTTGACATCCGCGGTTTCATCCCTGCCCCTAATCAGTAAATACGCCCCTTGCCAACCTAGGGCTCATTGCCGACACGGCATCCCCAGTTTGGCGCTGTCGGCCTCTGACCAGCACAAGGGCCCTTCACTATTTCAGGGGCCCTGACTTATGCAAGAGACCTTCCGACTAACATGTTCAGGTTTAGCCCTGCCTCTGCATGTGAACAGGACCCTGTAGGGCGCAAACCGGAATGTAACCGACCATTTAGACCGTTCGGTACTAGCAGTGTTAACCAGCTGTCTGGCAGGCAGCTGATTAACAACACTAGTACCCGTGGTAGAGGCCGCCACTGTCTTATGGGGCCCCGATCGGTGTTGCCCTTCACGCTCTCCAATCCGGCCCTTGAACGTCGGACCCGGGTGGGTCTATTTGTGGTTGCTTGGAATTCGTCGCCTCTTTAGAACATTTTTGGATCCCTCTGAGGTGCCCCTCTGGAATGGATGCCTTGAAGATAAAGGTCATGACGCTCCGAGAGAGAGATTTCTGATGCCCCTCCACCAAATAGGCCGATCCAGGATTTAATCAGGGTTGAAGGCAAAGGAATTGTGGTGACCTCTAGTTTTGGTGTCCCTTAAAAATGAGAGTTTTGGGGATCTCTCTCTCTCTCTATGGCCCGCCTGAATTAAGAGGCCCCAGGAAGCCAGTGCTATGGTGTCTGCAATGTCCGGTGGAGCTTGTTTTTGCTTGGTTTGCTTTGTGCTCTGGCTTGAAGTCTTTCCACAGCAGACGCAAACGTTTTGAAGTCAAATGACATTCTGTCCAATCTACTCGACGGCAGACTATCATTCTTCCGATGTTATTTTACTCCCAGCTGAACAATGCAAAAAAACCTGGATGCAACAGAGGTTGTTTTGTCCTCGCTAAAAATGCCAACAGGATCTGTCCATCACGGGCTTCTGTTGCCTCACCCCTGAAGAGAGCGTCGCGACGTGGCCGTCTTGCATCTGCACGCATCGTGAACATCTAGCGGCTAGCGATTTTTGCAGATTTCTTACGATGCGGCGTGGTACGAATAAATCGCAAATTTTAGTCCACACTTCATAAAATCTTGAGATTACGCGTTTTTGCCCTCAAGCACCCGCTTTGTTCTGTGATCGAGTGTCCTCATCATGCAGGCTATGGAATACCATCATTTTTGTTTGGTGATGCCTGCCGTTTGTGAGTGGTGGGGACCTCTAAGCCTTGATAAATGGGAGGAAAGCTCAAACTCCCTGCGAGTTGGGCCATAGGTTATCTACTCATATATCAGCATAAGTTATCTATCATATATCAACTCAGCCTCAGCTGAGTTGGGCTATTAGGTTATCAGTTCCGAATGACCATCTTTATTTTTCATTGCCATATCTAGAGGCTGAATAACAGCGCACCTTTAACAACATTCGTCGTGCGCTGATGCCCAGCTCTCATTGGTATCTATGGCCGTTTGCCGCGCGCCCGGAAGTGCTTCGGTACGAGCTCAGCTCGGCGTGTCATTGGCCCTCCCGACGGGGCCCGAGAGCTCTGGCCCCTGCAGCGGCAGCAGGCGGCGGACACGCGTCGCCATTGGTCGTCTTGCCTGATTGCGGCTGCGGATGATGTGAGAGGGCGCCGGGGAGGAGTCGAACGTGCAGGCCGGGCACGCCTCACTCGTACGCCGGCAGCGGCCAGGACGCCCCGACCATGGCCTGCCAGCCACAGACTGGCGGCAGCGCCCAGTGGTGAGTGCTCGGCCTGACTATTCGGGCTGTCGGTGTATTCGCAGGCGTTCTGGTGCATGACGCTGAATGATTTTGTTGAGAAACAGGGAGACTCGTTCGAGAGCTAGTGAATGTACTGCTATCCTTTGCCCGCTAAGGGGCCATCTATATGTTACCCGCACCAGGCTGAGTGGAGATCTGGCATTTTGTGTTTGGCATTTGGACCCTACCCACGTTTTTGCGAATAACCAAAACAAATGAAAGGGCAGGCGGCGCTGAAATTTGAAGCATCTGTTCTTTGGTCTTTTAACATCTTTCAAAATTTGGACTTAAACATACGAGGTCCTTGGCCCAGCCTTTAGGTTTAAGATGAGTACAGCTATCCTCTGTCCTACTTAGAAACGATGTTTTGAATTATACCGCTATCATGCGTATTTCGGGTGGTAGATTGCCAAACTGCTTTGGCAGAGGAGACGAGCGACGTTCTTCAAGGCGATGTTCAAATAGACGAAAGGCGAACAGAACATTACGCCTTTCATGCAATCATAATACTCCTTGCTATTGCTGGAGCGGCGTTGACTGACATGCATTGTAAGAAGCTCTCGACAGGTTTTGAGCACGATTTGTCAGCCTGATGAGGCCTGGTACACTGGAATGGAAACCTTTTTAGCCAATATGTCAAGCATTGGTCACAGTCACTAAAGGCCTCTCGGTTTCTACCGCCCATTAGATTGCCCGACTACGTTAACGGAACCGTTTCTACCGCCTCTGAACCAAAAGGCTGCGTACAAAAAGCTGCAGTGTCTCAAGGGGTTCTCAACTCAGTGCTCAGGGTTTCTCAACTACACGGCTGAGCATACAGTCCTGTTGCCACTCCGCTTACTGCTCCTGTGCAGGCTGCTGTCTTTTATGTGGCAGATTGTGCACGCTGCCGTCAACAGCGATACACAGTCAGGAACGGATTTTAAACTGACGCCAATGCTTGCATCACAGCCGAATAACATGTTTCAGCTGTGGCTCAGGAGCCCTTTTAACGCAATCATTGTTAGACGGGGACCTGAAGTGGTACCAAACGTGAAAGCTCAACAACAGGATAGACGGGAGTGACATCGATAGTTTGTCGAAATTACTGTCAAAATATTTTAGAAATTAGTCCACACACAATTGTGTTGTATTACCATGCACATCATCGTAATTTCGCATTTCCGGTCCATTAGAATTTGGTCCTATGGGACCAAACCCACAAACGTTGACTAAATGACACATGAGAACGAAACAAAAACGCTTTGAAAGTAATATCTACCGGTTATTTGGTAAAACCTGATGAGAAACGATTCATTTCGCGTCTTGTTTAAGACATCGTTCCCGCATTTTAGAGTAAGATGTCTGCGGCATACCGCGGGGCTAAATAAGATACCAGTATTAATCAACGGTGGCATAAAAAGAGCTAATGCGCCACCAGTCGTCGCCACTCTCATTGCCCGCTGTGACGTCATATACTAGTCTTTGACTATCGTGGAGCGTATTCAGGATAAAGTGCTTCTTCGAGTTATAACGTCGGTACTCGTAGGCCCTTTCATGGTAGTGTATAATTCGACTGGCACCTAAATTGGTCCCGCTGTATTCCAGACACCTAATACTGAAATGCACGGGAATCAAAACAAACAAAACAAAACTCACCACCGCCTGTGAAAATAGTCTGTGAACTTTTCCCTGAGAACATTTTCCGTCACCATACCTAAAGCCGTCATTTTGAGTTTGTAGATTTGTCATCACTGGACCAGTTCATAAGTGCCACAAATGCGAAATAACGAGCAAGTACGTTGTGAGAAAATGGAAAGGGATCTGCGCCATCCGGAATGAAAAATTACGGTTATTTTGGCGCCGCTGCTCCGAATAAAAACCTTTGTTTTGCTCCTGCTTATCCAATTATCTTTAGCATCTCGAATTTGGCACCAAACCAGGTCCCTATCTAAACAACGCAAGCATAAAAAGTACTTGTGTGACCTAGCTTAACTAGGAGTACACACAAACGTGACCGAGTTTGACTGATTTTCTGCCACAGAAATTACTTTCTCGCATGTATTCGCAAGCAGGGACATGCACAGATCACGTTGATAGCCGTACGTGTCTGGCCTGCACCGTGAGACACGGCCACATTTACATCTCCTTCCATCCAGTTAAAGATGAAGACCCCTTGTCTAAAGTCGGGGTGAGCCCTCATTAGTGCACAGCAGCAGGGAGGTACAGCATCTGATTGACAACATTACACATGTTATAAGGCTAGCACTATTCGCTCATGGCTACGCCATTTCCAGTTTGTGTGAATTCATCCGTTTGATCTGAAATACATGCATACCGCGCATGTCATTAGGTAACTCAATATGTGTTATCCTAAATCGAATTGCGTACTAAGCCATGCGTGTCACATACCGTGTATGATTAGACGCCAATAATATGACCTCGCATGTCACTGGGGGAGCGCCGGCTAAGTGAGGCGTTCATAGCTGGCATGCTTTCGGACGGCATATGGGTAGAGGGTGGCGTAAAACTCGCGTGTATTGCCAAGGGTAGGTAAAAATCCTTAAAAAATCGAACCTTATAGAAAATGCGAGTTTTGTGCATACTGGTACTGCATTACGCATATATGCAGTGGTCCGATCACTTCTAAAAAAGAGGATGGCAAGCCAGAGCACTTAAGCGTGTTGCGCAGGACAAGTCGCAATAGTCCTCTTTTTCACTTTTGTACACGTTTCTTGGTTCTAGTTCTATGATATTTAAGCCGGGAATTGTCCAGGATCCAAAGCATGTCACTTTCCTTTTTTGACAACTGTTCTTTTATTATTTCTTTCGTGGTTTCAAAGGTATTTATTACCACTTCCCCAGCAATCAGTCGCGAAGCGTAGGACTAGGGACTTAGGCGACCATGGTGCACATACAGAGACATTAAAAGTGATAAGCGTTTGCGCACCAAATGTGTACATGTGTGCACAAACCGTAAATGTACATGTGTGCACATACCGTAAATGTACATCTGTATGCGTGGTGATAGCTATGCATCAATCAGTTATATATTGGCGTCGCGCGACTTGAGATGTGTCGCCATGGGCGTCTTTAAAAGGCGAGTTTGAAGCATAACCTGAGTGGTGATTACACAGTTAATACTACGGATTGATTGATTGAAGATTGAATTGAAGATCGGAAGATTGAAGATTGAATATTGTATCACTAGGGAACGTTGTGCTTATGTTTTTACACATAGAAGAGTTGCTTCGCAAGAAAGCTGAATGCCTTACGATGCGTGGACTGAAGGCGTTCATCTGTACTCTTTCATTTTTTGCCGTGATTGCCACGGATTTAGCCCTTTTGAACAGTGTTTGCTTTGAAACCACTGCCAGCTGGGTTTCGGCTGCTCAGGTGGGAATTATGGATTTACATAGGTAATAGGAATGCCCATTTGTTGTCTAGATGCCAGAAGTCATGGCAATCATATCAGTCCATGATTAACAGTAATCCTGTCAATAACGTACTGCCGATACATTGTATCAGCGATACAGCGTATCCTATGCAAAGCTACACACACATACACCACCCGACATCTTGGAAGAAAGTTTGCACCTCGCTAAGATTCTTAGCTGGAACATGCCGAATGCTTTGTAGTATGTACATGTGTACTTCCCTGTGACTTCATACAGCATTCAGATTTTACTAGTCATACCGTAAGTCCTTAAACACACATTTACACCGATCACCTTAGTTTTCAACGATGTGCAAACATATTTTTCGCGCTCACTCCAAGCCGCGTACACATATGCGGCCGGAAGAACACTGAAAGATAAAGGGAGCTGCTATGCGTCAGCTAAGTGGCACAAGATTGCAGTCCGTCGCATAGGTTTGGAATACATCGCCCTGATACTAGTTGGACATGGTTCAACTCACCCCACTTTCTCCTAAAAGAAGGTAATTTTTCCCATGATCTGATCGCGGTGTTCTCGTGATTGTGTGAAAAATGCAAAATTTCAATCCACTTAATGCAATCAAATCATTTTTTTCACCAGCTGAAATTATCTCCATTTGTGACACAATCATTAGCAAATTACGATGAAATATGTATCAAGGGGGATTATTACCTTTCATCATCATGTTTCTCACAAAGCGCAAAAATAGCTGAGAGCAACCTTGCCATTGCTCATTCAACAAACATATGCAAAGTGCGCTTGCCGAAATCCTCCTGATCGCGTGTGCACGTCGAACAATCAAGGTCGAGGTCGAGGGCGTATAGCCTTAATACACGTCATCAATATCGCCCCTCTCTCCCTCCTCTCTCTCTCCTCTCTCTCTCTCTCTCTCTCTCTCTCTCCTCTCTCTCCTCTCTCCTCCTCTCTCTCTCCCTCTCTTCTCTCTCTCCCTCTCTCTCTCCTCCCTTCTCTCTCTCATCTCCTCTCTCTCACTCTCTCTCTCTCCTCCTCTCTCTCTCTCCCCTCCCTCTCTCCTCCTCTCTCAATCTCTCTCTCTCCTCTCTCCTCTCCTCTCTCTCTCTCTCTCTCCTCCTCTCCGCTCCTCTCCTCTCTCTCTCTCTCTCCTCTCACTCCTCCTCTCCTCTCTCTCTCTCTCTCTCTCTCCACTCCCACCAGAGAGGGATCCCTCCTCGCCCTCCGGACACATTGGCATAGCGCTATCGGTGTGATTTCAAAGTCACTCACCTGTGCTCCCCGCCGCAGCCGGCTCTCCCCGACACTTTTCCACACGTGCCGTCAGCCCCGGCCTGGCCCTGACTGGGCTCAGAGCGAAGCAGCGACCCTTGACCCTCCGCTTCCGCGGCCTCCGTCCTCAGTCAACAAGAGCAGATCCTCGCCGACATCTCGGGCCACGCGCGGCCGGGCGAGGTGCTGGCTGTTTGGGGCCGAGCGGTGAGTGGCTGAGCCGGGCGACGAGAACGGCAGACCTCAGGCATGGCCTGACGCTCACTGCCGGACTCTGCAGTCCGTCCATCACGTCGTGTCGCGGATCCGTGCTGTCCAGTGGTGTCTTACATAAGAGACTGAGTGACAAGCAGCTGACCTCCACGTCTTTTTGGATGCATGAGCACAGGTCTTTATGCTCGCTGTTTGCGCACAGCTCCTGCATTATCACAGCTTGTGCAGCGTAGGGTTTGCAATATTACAGTCAGCATGCTGCCAAGGACTGTCTGTGTACACTCGCTTCCATCCTGCCCAGTTCGGGTAAGACACGTGCTGAACGTTGCTGTCTGGCCGGCTGAAACCGGACTCGGGAGAGATCCTGCTGAACGGGGAGCCGCTGACGAAGCGACTGAAGCGCAGTGTCTGCTACGCTCCAAGAAGACATATTTTTTCGCGAACCTCACCCTAAGGCAAACCCTGACGGTTAAGAAAGCCGCCTGCGTACTCCGACCACTGCACACTAAAGGGGAGTTGACTTAATCAGCACAGCGTGGGATGCTGTTTGCTCTGCACTCCTAAAACACTATGCTGATATCAACCAGATGCACCCCATTCAGTTAAATACAGGTTTTGCACAACGCAAGAGAGCAGCATTGGAGGGTATGTATACATGCTAAATGTCTGACTTTGCTCATGCAATTTCTACCACCATTGCTTCCGTCAGGGCATTGCAGCCAGGCATCACAGCTGATTTTCTCTACCTCGCCGCCGAATGCCACGGGCTGGCACGAGGCGATGCCACAGAGCGAGGCGATTCGCGTTATTATCCTCGGGAACACAGCCCATTATCTCATTGGCAATACGGCCCATCATCCGCGTACGTCCGGCGAGCTTGCGCGGCCTCGCGATCCCTGCGCTGTGGGTTTATGTCCTGCCGTCGGAGAGGCAGCGGGGTCGGCACTGACAAACCGTCACAGTCGTGGGCCCTTCGGGATTGGATTGGGGTTATCAGATCGCTGACTCAATCACTCACCGCTACGTTCTCTCACGTAGTTAACCGAAGGTAACCAAAGGAAGGCAAACAAGGTGAAGAAGACAAAGGGCAAGAAAAATGCAGCAAGCATCTGCGCCATTTACATATTCGTCTTTTATCCTGCATCCTCCTGCGACTACCCGTTTTATCTGAAGCAAGCTGCCTGTGCCAGCCATGAGTGGGGCTTAAGTACCCTCGGGCGGGCCCCGTCCGAGCGCCAATCGGGGTCTGGTCGGAAGGGCTCTACCGAGTCAAACAAACCAACCAAAACAACACAGCACGCAACGAAGCGTATACAAGACGAACGCTCGCGCCGCACACCGATGTGACGCAGCTGCGGCAATCTGGCAACAAGCCGTGTAGTGAGATCCAAAGCACGCTTGAGCCCAGAAGGCTATGCGCCTATCCAAAACAAGACAAGACGAGTCCAGGCAAACGGTCGCGAAAGCCTGTCATGACTTCGCGCACCACCGCTGTCGCTACCGGTCAGGCGACACAGCGGCGTGTGATCTTTCAGACATCTCTAACTTATGGTATAAGAGGCGCTGCATATAATTTGACTTAACATGCGCCCGGGTGGCCGGCTGGATACCCTTCGCTCGGGTGGGGGTCAATTTGACCCGCTGAGATCTTAGGAAATAAGGGGGCTAGAGAACAAAATTGATAGCGCTTGTTGACCTGCATGTGAACTCACTTAGGTAAAAGTTTTAGGTCCCTAGGTCATGACGTTCGGGTCGAATAAGGTCAAACAAGGTCAAATCAGTGGTTGGTCTTCAAAGTCCCCAGAACTTAGATGATTGTTCTTAACAAAAGTCCATACGCTCATTTAAGGCCGGTAACCTTGTTTGACCATTGAAGGTCATCGTGACCAAAATTTTACAAGACCGCTTTGGAATGCGCATTTGAATAAGCGACAAAGATTACGCTAGGCGGTATATTTCTTTAAAAAAACACGTTGACCTGAGTAATCTTGGGCCAGTGACCTATTCATGAACTTAAACAGGTTTGCAAGATGTAGAATGCGGTTTCTGTATCAATAAATTTGAAATGAGCACTAGAAACTACTCACAAGCAAGCCCTAGAGTAATAAAACAGGTTGGTTCTGACCTTGGTCTGACGTTCATACCTGACCATAGGTCAATTTCATCTGCTCATTTAATTGTTGTGTTGCCTAAGAGGGTGTCTCAGAGATGTATACTTCATCCAACACTCCGTTGTTGCATGAGATAGAACGATACGCCAGAAATTGACTTCGCTGAAACCATAGCCTAACTTTGACCTGTCATAGGTCAGCGACTTCGCAAGGTACATCTATATTTTCAATACGAAACAATCCGCTCTCCAATTATCTACAGCTACGCAAAGTTTGGTGCAGTTACGCCCCGCCGTTCGTAAACCATTTAAAAAACCTTGGGGATGAATTTGAGCACCTCACCCAAGTGCGTGTTAAAATATAAGGAAGCCATTAGTGCAGGTGGGAAATTGAAGCGTTGAAGGGATCGAACGACATTTCTTTATGCTGATCCAGGCATTGTTCGATGCCTGTCGCCGGCAGCTGAAGATAATTTTACCGATCTTTCTGGCTTTTGATCGTGATTCAAAGGTCTCCAATAGTTGAATCTGGTCCACCCATAGCAGACAATAAAGTGCACTTCTGAACTCTACACGGGAAACAGCTACTTGGAAACAAACCATTTTTAGAGCTTTTAATCCGTTCAAATGATGCTACTGTAGTAAACTTTATGTTTTTGCAACCACCACGCAAATTAGCATGACATAAAATGAGTAGCAGTATGTGATTTATGGTCGTTCGGAACGAGAAGATATCGTGACCATGGATAATTTGATCTGTCAGTGACGTTTATTGGCTATATATTCATGTAGTTATAAATTTATCCCGCTTCATTCCTGTCATAAACACTTAACCGTGGCAGGTATGCCACTGAATACTAAAAAAGACCAAGTTTTGAAAGGACAGAATCCAGGTCCGGATTAAGTAGCCAACGGCCGAGAAGAAATCAAGAATGGTGTACGTTAGGTAAATTCATATTCGGGATCGGCCCTATCAAAGAAATTCACCCCTCTCAAAATTCCTTAAAGAAAGACTCTGAGTGGAATGCTCTGTCTGTGTTCCATGTCCTTGAGCCCTGGCCTCCAGGTGAGCAGTGTGCGTGTGTTGCTGTGTGCCGAGCAGTACGTGGCCCAGCTGCGGCTGCCTGAGCGGCTGAGCCGGGCCGAGAGGGAGCGTCATGTCGACCACATCATCAGCAGTCTGGAGCTGGACCAGTGTCAGCACACCCGTGAGTACCGGCGCTGCCCCCTCCCCCTCCTTCATCCCCTCCTCCACGCGTGCTCCCACTGAGGCCGCATGGGATGCTGGGAGCACACCACCTCAGAGGACGGGGCGGGTGCAGGTGGCCCTCTCAGAGCACCGGGCGGGTGAAGGTAACCTCCTCAGAGCACCGGGCGGGTGAAGGTAGCCTCCTCAGAGGACCGGGCGGGTGCAGGTGGCCTTCTCAGAGGACCGGGCGGGTGCAGGTGGCCACCTCAGAGGACCGAGCGGGTGAAGGTAGGCTCCTCAAAGGACCTGGCGGGTGCAGATGGCCTCCTCAGAGGACCGGGCGGGTGCAGGTGGCCACCTCAGAGGACCGGGGCGGGCACAGGTGGCCCGCTCAGAGGATCGGGTGGGTGCAAATGACCTCCTTAGAGGACCGGATTGAGTACAGGTGGCCTCCTCAGAAGACCGGAGCTGGTGCAGGTGGCCAATTCAGAGTAAGCATCAGAACATATCGGACAGATGTACACTTATCTCTGCTAGAATGGAATCTAGTTGAGGAAAACCTTTAACAGCGTACCTATGATCCCATGGAATGACTGCACTGGTCTTGAAAACAGGTGACAAGCGGACCATCGCATTTACATGGCAAAAGTCGCGTAAGAGATTTGGATGGAAGAAGAGGGATTTTTTTGCATGTACCTTTGTCTTGTGTTTAGCAAATTGTGTGACGAAAAAGGCCCCCATTATGAAAGCTTAGTAAAGGTTAAGTATTACATGCATGCTAATGGTCTCTATTCGTGATAACAAAAGAAGCCTTCATATTTGTGCTGACAAGACTGTGACACACTTCACCTGTAACTTTCAGAAATAGGGGAGTACATGAAAGGCGGCCTGTCCGGAGGCGAGAAGAAGAGAGCCAACATCGGCTGTGAACTGCTAACTAATCCATCTATCATGCTCCTCGATGTGAGTTTAATGAGCAATGATGCGCCGAACTCAGAAACCGTAAGCACAACAATGATAACTCATGGCTAGATATTCACATTACTGCGGACTGGCAGGCGAGGCCCTATATGTCGCAGCAGTGTACTGGAGGCGATAACGAGTAACTCATACACTGTCTGTGCCGGTGAGATCTTCCTTGACCCCTCCGAGCACGCGCTCCCGCCCTGACCTCTTCCTTCGAGCCATGAGCGCGTGCCAGTGACATTCCCCTCAGCGGGACCAGCGCGCTGCCTAATGCCGGCGCTCTCCTGACCGGCGGCACGACCCAACAGGAACCGAGCACCGGCCTGGACTCGAGCGCCACCTACAGCCTGATCCGAAACCTCAAGGACTACGCCGTCAAGGAGCGCAAGACGATCGTGCTCACCGTCCACCAGCCTTCTTCGCAGGTGTTCCACACGTTCGACAAGCTGCTGCTCCTCTGCGACGGGCAGGTGGGCACTGTTGGTGGTAATACAAATGATGGTCAGCTGGCGTCCGCACCGAGCTCACTTCGCACAGCATACCAGTTTTACAACGCGGCTGTGAGGATATGTTCAGCACCCTGGTCTTACTCAGGAGAGCTCTGCACCGCTCGTTACCAGTCCAAGGTCGGCAACAGCAGACCTGCGAGTTGTTGCCCATTTTCGTCGCCTCACTGTTAGGGGGTTCATTTCAAGCGGGACCGCCACATAGCCAGGGCCGACCCATTAGCAGACGCCAGTGAATGACCAGGCGAACTGCTCGGCGTACCGGACGGACCTGGCCGGCCTTCAGCCTTAGGTCTGATGACGAGGTGTCTGTCCCCGTGTCACGTGACGACGAGCCCAGCGCCTCCGACTCGGACGTCACCAGCCTGCGACGCTCACTCGCTCACAGATGGCCTACTTCGGCGAGGCTGTCGACGTGGTGAACCACTTCGGCAGTCTTGGTCTGTTCATCCAGCGCCACTACAACCCCGCCGACTTTGCCAGTGAGTGCAGCGCCGCGGTGGCGCGCTCTGCTCGGTAGCCTGAGGCGCCGATAGTCACCGAACTCGTGCTCCCCAGATGGATGAGCCCTGCTGCTGCTGGCGATTGCTGTTTAAACACGTGTGTCGACTTAATGCTGGGATTCGGAAAGAAAGGCTGCCTTTAAGGCATGGTGCGGCTCGAGAGAACCTCCTGTGATGTGCCCAGCTGCCCGGCAGGTGGCGAAATGTCACATTAGGCAGAGCCGGAGCGCGATTCAGCGCCAGGGCCATCGAGATAGACCCTGGACATTGTCTTCAGATGGTCTGTCTGCTTCCAGTTTAGGCTAACGGCCCGATTTGCTCATTGTGGATGTCCGCAGCTAGTCTGTCGGCTGAGGTGCTGTAACTGATGGTTTATAAGTTTCAGATTGAAACCCCTTAGAGCTTGCATAGCTACACACTCCACTTACACACTCCACTGAACATTTTAAGATATTAAGACATATTGTACTGCAAGTCCTGAAGGAAGGAGCCATTATTGATGCGTTTTATAATTGGGTACAGTTTACCACCACGGCGACTTGCAACCAATGTTGGGTTGGTGTTTGGCTCATCGTATGAGTCGCATAATTACCGTCTGACTGCCTAGCGTCTGATGTGGATGTAACCTATGGCACAGCGAACCCTAGCTTCTGATCTGATGTTCCCCAGTGGAGCAGGTGAAGCCGTCATCACCCAGTCGACAGCTGGTGTTATCGGCGGCGGCGGCGGCGGCGGCGGCAGAGACTCGTCTGCTCACCCGGCCAGAGACGCCCTACTCCAGCACGGACAGCCTGAGGTCCGGGGGGTCCGTGGACTCTGGTGAGCGGCCACCTCCTGACGCACTGCGGTCCTGGGGTCCTAGTGAGCGGCCACCTCCTGACACACTGCGGTCCCGGGACTCTGGCGAGCGTCCACCTCCTGACTCGCCACGGTCCCGAGACTCTGGTGAGTGGCCACCTCCTGACACAATGCGGTCCCCGGACTCTGGTGAGCGCCATCTCCTGACATACTGCGGCCCCGGTTTTGGTGAGCGGCCACCTCCTGACACCTGCGGTCCCGGGTCTGGTGAGCGGCCACATCCTGACTCCCCGCGGTCCCAGGACTCTAGTGAGCAGCCACCTCCTGACACACTGCAGTCCCGGGACTCTGGTGAGCGGCCACCTCCTGACACACTGCGGTCCCAGAACTCCGGTGAGCGGCCACCTCCTGACTCGCCGCGGTCCCGGGACTCTGGTGCGGCCACCTCCTGACACACCACGGTCCCGGGGCTCTAGTCAGCGGCCACCTCCTGACACACTACAGTCCCGGGACTCTGGTGAGCGGCCACCTCCTGACCACCACGGTCCCGGGGCTCTAGTCAGCGGCCACCTCCTGACACACTGCAGTCCCGGGACTCTGGTGAGCGGCCACCTCCTGACACACTGTGGTCCCGGGGTTCCGGTGAGCGGCCACCTCCTGACACACTGTGGTCCCGGGGTTCCGGTGAGCGGCCACCTCCTGACACACTGCGGTCCTGGGGCTCTAGTGAGCGACCATCTCCTGACACACTGCAGTCCCGGGACTCTGGTGAGCGGCCACCTCCTGACTCGCCGCGTTCGCGGGGTTCTGGTAAGCGGCGACCTCCTGACACTTCCTGTCGCTGCTGTGATGACGTCACACGGTGCACCGCCCGCACAGCGTGCCCATGAGGTTTGCACGTAGATTGCAACGTGTTTATATCAGCTGTCATATATGGCTTCATACGCCCGTTTCAGATAGCCTGTATACACTTGTGTATGGTTGCAGCGGCTCATGTTTGTGCATGAGTTTACCTCGATTCAAACATATCCGTTGAAGTCGTTCGCCACGCTCCACAAGACAAGTGTTTGTGTCGTTGGTCCGGCACCGTTTGTGAGACGACGCGCTCCATCACCGGACAGAGGGGAATGGGCGGAACATCTGCGGCTGTGAGCGGAGTCCGTGCCGGTCATGCAGCACCGCCCGCGACCCAGGTCACGTGCCGCTTGTGACACGACGCTCTTCATTACCGGGCAGAGGGGAACGGGCGGGACATCTGCGGCTGTGAACGGAGTCCGTGCCGATCAGGCAGCCCCGCCCACGACCCAGGTGACGTCCGGGGACGCTGCGGCCACGGCGGCACCAGCCACCTGCATATCGTCATCGAGCCGACTGTTGGAGGCCTGAAGCCAGGTGATCAGTCTAGGCACTGATCCAGGTGTCTAGACGGGGCTTTCGACTCGTGCGTACGGCAGCTGGGCACATTTGTACGCGGATATCGAAGAGGAGATACGAAATGGAGCATTTTTGCTAGGCAAATATCGGCCATAGATGGAGTGACAAAGGCTCATTAGGGATGGGAGCCCTTATCAAGATTGGACATATGACATTCATGTCGTCATCTTTGATTCGGCTGTCTATGTCACCGGGACTGTAAACGTGGTCAGAATCAGCAGCGTTGAAAATGCATACACCAAACATCGTAGCTTTACAAACATAGCGACCTGGCCAAAGACCGTAAATCAGCCACACACCTAGAGGACCAAACGTGACAAAGCTGGAGCTTCCAACGATAACAAGGCCAAGACATAAGTCAAGTCGTGATAAGCCGATTTTGTTTGGTGAATCGAGCGAGGTCGTGACACAGAGCGTTTGGCAGGAGCAGGAAGCGACGTCGACAGCGGCACCTCCAGCTGGTCGAACGTCACCCAGAGTCAGCAAGGGGTGGATGAGCTCGACCCCGACCGCTGGCCGACCAGCTTCTGGACACAGCTGAAGGTTGGCGCGGTTTGGGGGTCATGTCATGTCTGGTGGATGGCCTGGCGGGCCCGCAAGTGGATGGAACTGATATATGTATTGTGTGAGAGATACTTGCGTATATCGGAGTCATGCTTAAACATTCGTCGTTGAACAGGACTCAGCTTCACATGCATTTTCACCGGCGGCCTGCATTCTTCATTTAGAGGAACCTTTTCGCCAATGAAAGTCGCTTAAAACATTTGAGTGCCACACGTTCTCTGTTGACTAGAATCTCACATTTAACAAGGCCGTGCATTGAATTGGAATCACCCAGTAACTCTGGATGACTGAGATTCGGAGTCGGTAAAGTAGCGATAGAGTTTTGGTGACGGTACTCTGCCCACTTACGCTTCGCTGTTGCATGACGTTCTAGGTGTTGAACCGCCCTCACCTGACCTGAGATGACCATGACCCGACCCTCGGCGTGAGTTGACCTGACTGATACCGTGAAATGGCCTGACTGATACCTTGACCTGATCTGACTGATACCGTGCCGTGGCTTGACTGATGCGGTGACTTATGTCAATCCTAACCGTTCCACTATAAAATATTTTTCCGTGCCCAGACATTCTCCGCCGTCCTGCCCTGCTGACGCCTGCCCTGTCCTGCCCTGACTGCCGTAGCCGCAGCCCCGACTGGTCTAACCTTGGTCTGACCTTGGGCTAACCTGACCTGCCATGACTTGATGTGACCTGACACTGACTTGACGGTCCGGCAGGTGCTGACAGCGCGGACGTTTCACGAGGCGCGGCCACGCGTGCTGAGCCAGCTGAACCTGTTGCTGACGGTGGTGCTGGCGCTGCTGGCCGGCCTGGTCTGGCTGCGCACCGAACGCTCCGAACATGCTATCGCTGACTTCCAGGGCTGGATCTTCTTCTCCACCAACTACTGGATGCTCTTCTCACTGTTTGGTGCACTCTTTGCCTGTAAGTGGGCTTCGGTTCACGTATTACATAAATGCGTGATTGACATCTGTTTTTTCGACCAAGAGTTATTGCCATGGGTGCTATAAAACTCGATGACAACTGAGCACTGTAGACGAATGCGTGTTGATTCAGCATTCCCTTACTGAGGGCCTACTGAGGTATTCCATTACCGCGCCGCATCATTTTCATGCTACGTTTCAGATATCCAAAGTGTAAAGTAAGCAAACCAGACACTTCGGGCCGTTTCCACATTTTCTACGAAATGCTGCAGAGAACTTTCCACAAGCTCGTGCCGTTGATACTATTCAGTGGCAACATGACAGACCCACTGCTATATTGGTTGATGTCAAAAACGATGTTTGCATGCCGAATGAACTCGCCATCCCGATTTAATCATAGACAACACATCGCCTCGCTTGCATACCAAGTTAGGCCATCATGTTGTCTTGTCATGACATGACTTGTCATGTCATCTTGACTATCATATTTCCCATGTTGCCCGAATGTGCCGTTGCCTGCCGGGCCCGTGCTGCCCTCCGCTGCGGTCGCCGCCTGGCTATCACTGCCGCCTGATAACGTGCCGTGGGCGCCAGTGCCCTCGCAGCAGAAAGTGGTGAACAAGGAGCGGGCGTCTGGGGCGTACCGGCTGTCGGCCTTTTACCTGGCACGGCTGGCTGGCGAGCTGCCGCTGCTGCTGGCGCCACCTGCCCTCTACTTCGTCATCTCCTACCCCATGCTGGGCGCCAGTTCGCCGCTCACGTTCGGTCTTCTTCTTCTGCTCCTGCTGCTCAACAGTGTGGTGGCAGAGGTGAGACCGCCGCCCTCGCTCCAAAATGCTAGGTCGAGCAGCGACTGGTCTGAGCGCGTTATTGGTTACGGCGCGTGTGTTTCAGCGGGTGATCTGGATTCAGCGGGTGGTGGTGTATGCCCGGCGTTAGTTGGTGCAGTAGTTTGTCTGGATTATGCTGATACCAAACCGGACATATTAAACTAGGTCTATTAATACTGACGCCGACGTCTTTATAACATTCCGAGGCTGCTTTCGGGCCAGCAGCCCCGTGTCAGCAGCTAGGGGCGTAATTTCATGAAATGAGTTTGTGGGAGGGGTGGGGGGGGGGGAGGGGGAGGGGGGGAGGGGGGGGGAGGGGGAGGGGAAGGGGGAGGGGGAGGGGGGAAGGGGAGGGGGGGAAGGGGGGAGGGGGGGGGGGGCTGAACACTGGAAAATGTAGTCTTCCCCAAAATATGCCAACGAAGAGGTTTCTCCCTAGATTTAAGCCTACTTTCTTGCCAAAGTTGGGGGCTGGAGGCCAAGTTGAGTGGGAAGGGGGAGGGGCTGAATCCCCCAGCTCAATGCAAACTACGACAGACGCCTGCAATCCCTCGTTGGTTTTTACTTAACGCATGTATTGGGTTTCACCTGGTGTGTACCGACATTGCGATGGCCATGCGCAGCGAGGTAACAAGCAGCTGCACACCCCACGACGTCCCCTCCCCCCCCCAGACGGTTCCTGTCCCGGCTCAGACCCGCTCCCCCCTCTCTCTCTGGTCCCGCAGAGCGTGGGTTTATTTGTTGGCGTAGCCTGCATGGACCTCCAGGTGGGCAACACGGTGGGCGCCATCTTCACGTGCGGTGCCCAGCTGTTCAGCGGCTTCCTTTCCACGCACATCCCCGGCTGGCTCGGCTGGATGCGCTACCTGTCTGTGGTCTTCTACGCCTACCAGAACATGCATATCGTCGAGTTCGGCAGTGGCGCGCCGTTCAGTACGAGCGCCGTGCTAGCACTGCGCTTCTGTTGACGTGGTAAGCTTGCTGAACTTGCTTACGCGGCAAAGGCCGACAAGGATCTTGTTCTGCTCAGTGCTCTGCTCAGTGCGAGTGCACTCAAGTTTGTGCGTGACATCAAAGCCCATCAAGACATTAAATGTCGTCTCGGTTTGTTCATGTTCTTGACCAGCCCGCGCCCTGGTTGGTCTGCATATCGACGGCAGCAGGTCCTCTCATACTGTGAGACAGACGGGCCTGCCCACATGTACTACGCATGTGCGTAATACTGTACGTACATCCATAGCCTCCACGTTCCTAGTCAATTTTTCTGTTCCCTAGATGCGCGTCGGAGAACTCTAAGTTCCAGGCCTGCGCGACAGGCGGCGCTACCTTCATCCCAGTGGAGGACCTGCTGGCGCATCGCGGCGGCCACTTGCCATTCTGGGCTAACCTGCTTGCGCTAGTCGCTTTTATGGTTCTGTTCCGTGTGCTGGGATACGTGGGGCTGCGCTGCTTCCGTGTCCCGACACACTAGGGTCGACGGTGAGCATTGGCGCGCTCTGTCCGAGGGAGAGCGTCGATCTCACGGTCGGTCTTCCGCCGCCGCACCGCCCAGGTCGCTGGGGCGCCTGACAGCCTCGAGCATGGCTGCAGTCACGGCCGCGACATGGGCGCATACGGCACGTCATCCCGCAGCATAGCCCGTGCCCCCTGGCGGGTCAAGGACCTGGTCTCGGCAGGATAACGATGGGAGCGGGATTAGTGATGACGTAGACAGTGGCGACGTGAAGATTGCGGTAGGCAAAAAGTCAGAGCACGCCTGATTGTAGGGAGTGGTTCCCGACCCCGTTTCTTGCTTTGCACCCATTGCATGAGGCGCTTATGTTGTGTTAAGTCGTGGTTCCTGATAAGACTACGCTTCTGTATGCGACCAAGTGTTTGTATTCACCCCAACGCTGGTGTCCGAAGACTACTGGATATGTGCGTACAAGTACAGCCGTCTGTGTGCGAGAGCTTACGGCTTTAACGTTCCTGTTGTATGACACTTATTACTGTAAGACTTTGCATTAGGACGTTTTTGAGATACATGTGCGATTACGATCGTGCAAGTTGGCCAGATGATTTGAAATCTACTGGAGAGGGGCATGGGCCCATCTGAATTTGCATCGATGATTTGTTAAGTGTCGCGTAGGCAATCAGATGCTATGTACCAATGTCATCGACCGTCCTCAGTGTTACTACTACTCACTTTCAGAAAGATGTTCATGAACTCGTGCCTGCGCTTCCAAACATAGCCACAAATACATATTTGCACAACTGTATCTCGGTTTTTTATTCACCTTTTCTGGGGAGGTCGGGCTGATGGCAAAAAAGTGGGAAGCATATGTGATAGTGGAGATACGATACCAGCAGCCCCGCCCCATGGCGAGGCCGTTACGGTCTTGAACCAACCTCATCCATCGTCAACCGGCCTATCCATCACTCAAGCGCACAAAACATGTATCCAGATAAATTCGAAATATTATATTAGAACTAAATGGGAAATTATGTATTTTACGCCCCGGTTTGAGCAGTCTTTTTTTCTTAAAGAGTGGGATAGGCTCTGGCGTAGTAATACCGCTTCAATTATAATGCGATTAATCCTAACTTAACCTTATCTCCCGTCCCAACCAAAGCACAAGTCGAGAGCATTGACACCAACGACAGATTACTTCTGCGGATCTGACTTTCAGACCTCGATGCGCCGACATTTAAACATCATTTAAGTTTTTTACATATATTTAGAGTCATATCCACTGCAAAGGTTCCTTAACTTTGTAGGGTCCAAGGTCATGCTAACCTAACGCTCTAAATGATGTTCGAAAACGAAGTTGGATGGATTGGGTCAAGTCAGGTGATGACAAGTAAGTTCCGGTCATATGACATGACGTCTAAATATTTATGTCAAGCATGACAATTAATGCCACATGATAACGTGGTGCCAAGAACAACAGGCAAAATGACTTCGATCTATCATGCCCTGACGTCCATGGCTTTCAGTCAGCTGCACCTTTGAAGCCCTTCTAACACCAACTTATGTTGCAACGCAAGAGAAGTGCCGCAAACCACATCTGTATCCAAAGAACATGAGCAAGAAATATAGACGTTGACTGAGATAAAATTAATGTTCCCGATTACGCCATGAATTTTGGAAGTCAGAATGCTTGCAATACATGAAGCACACCAAAGCAATAGGTAAGGCGAACTTCATTATTTTTAACACATATCTCATAATGTAGGTATTGACTTCATGTGAGCGAAGACAAACAAAGCAAACAAATAACACACATTTTAACCAGATGGCGGTGTTAACCTCCCGCAACTGTAAAACCACAGGTCCTGCGTTTGCTCTGTCACGCGCTGTTCCACTTTCTATGCTTGCCTCTTAAAAAGGCAAAATAGAGACCAATGTCACTTATCGAAATTTTGCGCAGGGAGCCCAAGATATGGATGGACCAGTTTAGGGCCTCAAGCCACTAATACGCCCATTCATGATCCAAGATTTCTTTGGGGTCAAGGGGTTTCCAGTGGCCCTTACAAAATGGAAGGTGCCAGCCCCGAGGAACAAATGGAAGTTGAAAACGTGGGGCGGAACCATTAGCTTTCAGTCTATGCTTGCCCTCAACGAGCTAAGACAGCAAAATCTGCTTTGCGACGCCATAATTCGGTTAGAAGATGGCAGCGCTTTCTCAATACATCGTGCCATCATGTCGGCATGTAGTCCGTATTTCAGGTAAGTCAACCCTAGCTGAAACCTATGCCACATGAGATAAAACAACGCTTAACACATTTCTGTAATCCTCCATCTAATCCCATCCATTGCTACTAGTGTAACAGTTATTGCATATGCATGGAAAGCATCGTCATCACCAAAACCGGCATGGCACCATTGTCAGTAGGCATCAGTAGCCCAGCGCTGCTGTTCGTACTGTCTGGTATCAGCAGCGCATTATTCGATGATACTCCACGTAAATCTATATTCACTTTATGTTGCATGCATGCATCACCTAAAAAAATACAGTGCACTGTGCCTAAGCATTTCCTCCCTGTTAAGTAATCCGATGTACTTAACAAGTGAAGCCTTTCGCGACCACCTGCAAAGCAAAGAGAAATTGCATTATTTATTTATTGCATTTATATATTGCATTATAAGCAAATTGGGCGAGCGTTCTTCACTGAGGTGATGTTCAGATGCAAGGCACTATGCACCTGCATAGACATGAAAGCTTGACTGGACATCGGGTCAGGATAAAGTGATGGAATTGCTAAACATTCACATGACCATTTGTTCTTTGTCCTTTTGCTCTACCAACTCACTCGAAATGACATCCACTGCAGACCCCGGCGGAGCAACAACATGTATGAAACGCTTTCGTCTTGGAGTGATATTTTAAACTTAATTGACAAGCCGCAGTGTAGTGAGCGGTGCGTCCTGTAACTTCACAAATCATGTTTCAGGGCTCTTTTCACCACCTCCCTCCATCAAAACGAACGAACCGATGTCCTCATTCGAGATGTTTCGTCTGAGGCCATGCGGCTCGTTATCGAATACGCCTACACACGAAACACTTTGGTCGACTCCGAGAACGTGGAAATGTTGCTGCGAACTGCCGACTACTTCAACATCGAAGGCATGCTGAAGGACACCTGTAACTTCCTAATGATGGAAGTAGGACCCAGGAACTGTTTTGGAATACGGAAGTTTGCAAGGTATGGATTGAGTCCTCACATCCTTCATGGGGCAAAGCAGACTGGATGCCCCGCACTGGACACCATTTTTGAGACGCTGCAAGACACGGATGGAATAATTGTTCAGACCATCGTCCTCGTCTGCTGTGCCAGAATGTATACAACGCTCCGACAAGTTAACTCTCGGAGTGCGCCAAGTGTAATATAGTGCTGATAGGGACCGGATTATGTTTGGCCTTCAGCCATGTGCGTGTCACGCCCCCAATTTTCTCTTTGAAATTGCCGGTATTCGAACCAAGGTTTTCTGATTGTGAGATCAGTGATCTATCACAGAGCCAACGGAGATAGCCGGGAAGGGCATCCCGCTTGGAACTACTGCGAAGGGACTGGACTAATGATCATAAGACTGGTGTTCAAATCCCACCAATTCCATGAACATAATTC